GTCTCCAGCATGAGGCATTATGTTGTCTCCTGCATGAGGCATTATGTTGTCTCCAGCATGAGGCATCATATTGTCTCCAGCATGAGGCATCATGTCTCCAGCATGAGGCATCATGTCTCCAGCATGAAGCATCATGTTGCCTCCACCATGAGGCATCATGTTGCCTCCAGCATGAGACATCATGTTGCCTCCACCATGAGGCATCATGTTGCCTCCAGCATGAGACATCATGTTGCCTCCACCATGAGGAATACTTTGTGGTATCTTCAATAAGAGGAATAATTGACGGTATCCTCAACAAGAGGAATACTTTGCTCTTGTAAATTCTACGGTCCCACCTTGCCAGATTTCATTACCTCGAGTCTGAAACTCATCTTGAGGATGAAACGTGACAGGAAAATATTTGGCTCACACCAAGCGTGAGAGAACGTATTGATATTGAAAGTTGTCTGGGTTTACCAAGATACCGCGCTGCCAGACGCGTCACACGCGTGCCTTTTACTTTGCGTAGTTGTGATTAAACTTTGTGTTTTTTTTTTCCAGTTTTGTGCAAACAGCTAAGATGACATGAGTTAAAGCTTCGAAAAATGAACGCTGGGAAAGTTCAGGAATTGACGTCGGGGGAATGTGTTAAAAAATGAAGGGTTGTGCGTCAAGTGAGCGAGGAAGTGAGTCAGTGAGCGAGGGAATCAGTGAGTGAGCGAGTGAGTCAGTAAGCGAGGGAGTCAATGAGGGAGTGAGTCAGTGAGCCAGAGAGTAAGTCAGTGAGCGACGAAGTGAGTCAGTGAGCGATGGAGTCAGTAAACGAGGGAGTGAGTCAATGAGAGAGTGAGTCAGTGAGCGAGGGAGTGAGTCAGTGAGCCAGAGAGTGAGTCAGTGAGCCAGGGAGTCAGTGAGCGATGGAGTGAGTCAGTAAGCGAGGGAGCGAGTCAGTAAACGAGGGAGTGAGTCAATGAGCGAGGGAGTGAATTAGTAAGCGAGGGGGTGAGAGAGTGAGCGAGTGACTGAGTGAGTGAGTGGTAGCTGTTTCCTCTCTTTCAGTATCTCTCTAATTCAGCCTTTTTATAAGAATTAGTAGTTGATATTGGGCAGCCTCGCTCCGCCCTCCAGAGTCGACTAGTGTGGACGACTTAACACTAACTCCAGTACCTCTAAGAGGTTACAGAACCCTCCAGTAACTTCAATCCCTCCATGAGGTTATAAAACCTTCAAGTAACTCTAATCCCTTCATGAGGTTACAAAACCTTCAAGTAACTCTAATCCCTCTATGAGGTTACAAAACCTTCAAGTAACTCTAATCCCTCCATGAGGTTACAAAACCTTCAAGTAACTCTAATCCCTCCAGGAGGTTACAAAATCCTCAGGTAACTTCAATCCCTCCAGAAAATAGCAGAACGCTCTTAATTGAGGAAACGTTTCACCACACAATGGCTTCATCAGTCCAATTGAAAGGAGAATGGTGAATATCAAGCGTAGAATTAATTCCCTATATCAAGATACCAAAATGTTGCTGTGTCAGACACAGCAACATCTTGGGATCTTGATACAGGGAATTCTACGCTTGTTCTTCACCATTCTCTTTTGTATTGGTCTGATGAAGCCATTGTGTGGTGAAACGTTTCCTCATGTGTTTAAATTACTAAAATGTGTTTAAATTATCACCTTCGTCGATAAGCAAACTCACTCTAAGCCCTGAGCCGCAAGAGGAACATAAAATACACCTAGGATTGTAACTTTCATCAGTTTTTAACCAATCTGTAACTTTACCACGAATTAATTTATCTGCTGCTTTATGGGTACTTTGATAAGCCCCGCCCAGCACCATTGTATGTATAATGCTGGGTATCAGGTGGAAATTGAGGATAAACATGCTTTGTTGGGGCTTCAATGGTGCACGTTCCATTCTGTTAGGTAAGTGCTTAAGTCTTCCGAGAAAAAGTTCTCCCTTTGCTGTTGAGTAAAAATACTGCCCTAGATATTAATATACTTCTGTGGCCTTTAGAGCTTTTAGAGGCCGGTCATAAACATATATGACAGGCACATTATCAATATACCACTGTGTCTAAGGAACTGTTTTAATTTTAAGAGTAGCATACTTCACACTATTAGGCCAAGATAAGGCTTTTAGTAACGATGTTCATTGCTGACAGCGCCCTGTTTGTCTCAATTAATAACACCATGTCATCGACAAAGGCTAACGAGGGTAAATACTCGAGTGAGCCTTTGCCGATGATATCCCTCATGCTATTGTATCAAGAGCATGAAAGTGAATCGCCCTACCTATCTCAGCATGACGCTCTACTAGGAAGGAACTCGCAAACAACCTCATATTAAATACGAACACATATGCAGTATAATGTGATCCTTTATTGACAACGTTTCACCCACACAGTGGGCTTTTTCAAGTCACACACAGATCTACCTGGGGGTGGAAGGTACGGGAGTATTTATAGTCATGTTCAGAATGTTGAGGTCAGGTGGAGAATGCTGTATCTGATGATCTACCGGGTGGAGTTATAGAGTCTTGGGTAGCTTGGCAGGGGTATTGGACAATTTGTGAGTAGACCTTCTGCAGTGTTCTATGTTCTTATGTGGGATAGCGATGAAGAAGTTTCTTGGCGAGTGGTTCAGCTATGTTATAGAAGCCGTTGTTCTGGTTGAAATTGTTGTTTATAGAGATAAGCGATGATTCCAGGATTCTTCGGTATTGAGTGTTGTCTTCTGTGGCGATAAGTCTTGAGTTTCTGTAGTTAATTAAATGGTTGTGTGAATTGCGATGTTGTACACAGGCATTCCTTGTATCGTCAGTCCTGCTTGCATATTGGTGTTCCGAAATACGTGTTTGGAGGTCTCTTGATGTTTCGCCCACATATAATTTGTTGCAGTCATTACAAGGGATTATGTATACCCCTGCAGAGGATGGAAGCTTGTCCTGTCTACTACTGGTGATGTCCTTGATGGTCGTGGTTGTGGAGGTAGATACTTGGAATGATGTACTGGAAAAGATGTTGGAAACATGTTTGGCAATGGAGTTGGTGGGGAGGACTATGTATCTCTTCTTGGCAGTGTCTTCTCTGGGTGTGTTGAAGATGTTTAATGCCCGCCGTCTGCAGTCTCTGATGAAGTGACGAGGATAGTGGAGTTTAGAAAATACTTGTTCAATTATAGTGCATTCTTCCTCAAGGAACTCATTGCTGCAGATTCTGAGTGCACGCAGGAAGAAGCCTATAATTACACCACGTTTGGTTTTGGTGTCGTGGTGAGAGTAGAAGTGGAGAAGATCGTTTTGGTTGGTGGGTTTTCGATAGACTTTAAAACGAAGTTCGTGGTCAGCTTTGCAGAGCAGAACATCAAGGAAAGGAAGAGTGTTGTCGACTTCTTCTTCAAGTGTGAACTGGATTGAAGGCTCGACCTGGTTGAGCTTGTCTTGGAGAGCTTGAACGTTGAAACGTTTAGGAGTTATGAGGAGAATGTCGTCAACATAACGGAGCCATAACTCCACTATCCTCGTCACTTCATCAGAGACTGCAGACGGCGGGCATTAAACATCTTCAACACACCCAGAGAAGACACTGCCGAGAAGAGATACATAGTCCTCCCCACCAACTCCATTGCCAAACATGTTTCCAACATCTTTTCCAATACATCATTCCAAGTATCTACCTCCACAACCACGACCATCAAGGACATCACCAGTAGTAGACAGGACAAGCCTCCATCCTCTGCAGGGGTATACATAATCCCTTGTAATGACTGCAACAAATTATATGTGGGCGAAACATCAAGAGACCTCCAAACACGTATTTCAGAACACCAATATGCAAGCAGGACTGACGATACAAGGAATGCCTGTGTACAACATCGCAATTCACACAACCATTTAATTAACTACAGAAACTCAAGACTTATCGCCACAGAAGACAACACTCAATACCGAAGAATCCTGGAATCATCGCTTATCTCTATAACCAACAATTTCAACCAGAACAACGGCTTCTATAACATAGCTGAACCACTCGCCAAGAAACTTCTTCATCGCTATCCCACATAAGAACATAGAACACTGCAGAAGGTCTACTCACAACTTGTCCAGTACCCCTGCCAAGCTACCCAAGACTCTATAACTCCACCCGGTAGATCATCAGATGCAGCATTCTCCACCTGACCTCAACATTCTGAACATGACTATAAATACTCCCGTACCTTCCACCCCAGGTCGATCTGTGTGTGACTTGCAAAAGCCCACTGTGTGGGTGAAACGTTGTCAATAAAGGATCACATTATACTGCATATGTGTTTATATTTCCACTGTGTCGGTATTTGATACCATTTATTTCATATTAAATACGGATTACTACAAAGCCGTTCCAAAGTTTCTTATTCTTCTTAATTGGAAGCCTCGTTCAGGCCAATGGGCAATCCTAGCTGCCAATGTGAACCATTGACAAGATCAACAATACTCGTACTCCTACCGTCTTCTTCAGTGGGTGTAGCAGATAAATTTAATGAAAAAAAAAAACTTATTCTCATCTATAGCATTTTGAATATCCAAATTTTGTGTTATTGGGGGCCATCTAGGATTAGCATAACATTTTTTCCCCGTCTTTAGCATACATCCTCTCAATAATGATAAAGCCTCCGTAATACTTTTCTTCCACTGGTGTTGCTCAACGGAGTACATCTTCCATTATCACACACCTATCGTCGAAGTGTAGATTCACTCACCATCGAACTTCTCACCAAACAGAACATTTAGAATCAAGTCATGTGTGTGTATTATTAAAACATCTTCCTAATATAACTGTGCCTACTAACTCTGCCTGTTATATCTGTGCCCAGTACTCTGCCTTCTGTAACTACATCTACTTGCTCTGCTTACCATGACACTGCTTACTATAAATGTGCTCAATAACTCTGTCTACTACAACTTTGCCTACAGACTGTGCCTACCAACCCTGCCTACTCTAACTCTGCCTACTAACTCTGCCTGTGCCTCACAGGTTGAGCCCCGGGGAGCTACAGTGCGTGGACAGTCTACAGGTGGTGGTCGGCATCGTTATCGTCTGTGTCTCCTCCGTCCTGTTGCTCACCCTCTCCCTCATCCTCTGTAGGTAAGTGGTCTTCCTCACTTAGGGTGGATTCTCTCAGTGTGGTTTTACATAGCGCGGATTATCTCAATATGGGTTCGTTCAGCGAGCATTTTCTCCCTACGGATTCGCTTACTGCGGATTCTCTCCATGCGGATTCGCTTTTTTTTTTTTTTGCAGATTCTCTCAGTGTGGATTCGTTTAGTGCTGGTTGGCTTAGCGCAGATTTTCTACAAACACAGGTATACAATAAAAGGCCTGTAACACCTGACGGTACGTTAAGTCCTCTGACAAGGAAGCAACCACGAGAATGAAAACAAAGGAACACACCAAGGGTAGCTTTTTGCGCACACGCATATTCCCACCACCAATATTTACAGTATGTACAAAATGTAGCAGAGAAGCTATGCAGGAAGACACTATATAATTCAGAGCAATAAAGAGTGAAAGAGCAAAACAAGTCCACTTACTGCTATTTTCTTATAACTCATGTCAGAGAGACCAGTATGTATACTCAGCCTGCTGCTGAGAGACTGGCTCCAACCAGGGGTGTAAGTATAACATTAATTCGCCTGGAGTCACCCTCTCATCCAGTTGGTTGATGTACAAAACTGGCAGATAATTAGAGTGTGCTTAGGGCGCCGACAATCTCTTAATGACTTAACTGCTAGTTAGGCTGGTACAGGGGAAATGCAGGACGGGCTTGTGTGTTGAGCGCCGAGTGAATGGTAGCACACTCAGCGCATGACACAAGATTTGCTTAATAATGAGTCTCACACTCTCCCTCATCCTCTGTAGGTTAACCTTATTATTATTATTATTATTATTATTATATATTTATTATTATTATTATTATTATTATTATTATTATTATTATTATTATTATTATTATTATTATTATTATTATTATTATTATTATTATTATTATTATTATTATTATTTTTATTATTGCTATTATTATTATTATTATTATAGTTATGGTGAGACCACTTAGAAACGAAGGACTTTCCGTAGCCTTCAGGTCATTCTTTCTAATGTATAATTTACAACAGCAACTTTCACTTCAGGTCACGTTTTACTCCAGTATTTTACTGTAGTCTCCAGGGAAAAAAACATTTCGTGAGCTACTATCAATTTAAAAAAAAAAGAGTAAATGCACTCAGCCCATCCATTACATAGATTGGATAGACAGAATTTTGTTGAGTTGAAACCAAATTGTTCATACATATTTTTCCTCTACAAACAATTTATCGACTTTATTGGCTTTTATGAAGTGATTTAACCAGTGGTGAACATTCGTTAGTAAGAGAGGGTGATAGTTTTCTATTCCATAGTCTATAGTTTATAGTCTAACAGCAACTGACTCACGACGTTTCTGGCTTTTGTTTTTATGTGAAAACTCAGTATTGTAACAGGTGCAATTATTAACTGTTCATTGAGAAAATGGAAAATGTGAAGATACTGTTGTACACTAATAGCGCGTCACTTTGAGTAAAACAGCGGACTTCCAGGGGTTTCATAGTCTGCAGATTGGAAATCTGTGGTCTTCCAGGGATCCGCGGTCCATGGATTGGAAACTATTGGTCTTCCAGGGGTCTGTGGCCCACGGATTGGAAATCAAGGACCTTCCAAAGGTCTGTGGTCCACAGACTGTGAACCAGGGATCTTCCAGGGATCTATAACCCACAGATTGGGAACCAGCGGTCTTCCAAGGGTCTGTGGTTCGCAGATTGGGAACCAGAGGTCTTCCAGGGGTCCATGGCCCACAGATTGGAAACAAGTAGTCTTTCAGTGGTCCGTGGTTAGCTGTGAACTTTTAAAGACGTCTCTCTTTACTGTGAAACAATATTTGTTCAGTTCTGTTATGCGGTTGCAGAGGATCGAGTCTCAGCTCCTGGTCCATCCTTTCCTCTTGCCGCTATTGAGTTCACTCTCTCCTGGCTCTGGGAACCTAACATACTTATTCACAAAACTATGTATGGATCCTGCATCTATTCCTTCACTGTCTAGGTAGTTCCACTTCAAGGCTTAGGAAGTATTTCCTAACATCCCTGTGATTCTTTTCTTCTTTAAATCTCCAGCTGTGCTGACATGTACCTGACACCAATCTCTCCAACAGACTCGCCTAGTACCTACCTCTGTCTCCTAATGACATCAGATTTAGCTTCTTTAGCGTCTCCTAATAGTTCATACCTCAGCTCTGGGATGAATTTCATTGCAAATCTTCATACATTTTGTAGCTTTTTGACACGATTTATCAGATGTGGGTTCCATACTGGCGCTGCATACTTTAAGATGGGTCTGGCAAATGTCGTATATAGTGTTGAGAATGGCTCCTTTTTGAGGGTGCTAAAAGCTATCCTTAAATTTGCAAAGTCTCGCGTTTGCTGTGAAAACGGCTAATCTGTTGACGTGCGCTTCAGGCGGCATGCACTAAACTATGCTTACGCTCAGACTCTTCTCCTTCAGGGAGGTTTACAGACATTCTCTCACAAGTCACGCGTGTGCAAGTGTGTGTGTGTGTGTGTGTGTGTGTGTGTGTGTGTGTGTGTGTGTGTGTGTGTATGTGTGTGTGTGTGTGTGTGTGTGTGTGTGTGTGTGTGAGTGTGTGTGTGTGTGCACGAGCGCGTGCTGGCGCACGTCTCTCCTCCCTCAGACTGTGCATATACATGTTAATCTCCAAAATAGCAATGCTGACTAATACTCACACTCACTCAAACACACACACACACACACACACACACACACACAACACACACACCAGTGCTATTTTTGGTATATATGAATGACATAATGGAAGGGAAAGACTCTGAAGTGTCCCTGTTCGCAGATGATGTGAAGTTAATGAGGAAAATTAAATCAGATGAGGATCAGGCAGGACTACAGAAAGATCTGTAAAGGCTGGACACCTGGTCCAGCAACTGGCTTCTCGAATTTAACCCCGCCAAATGCAAAGTCATGAAGATCGGGGAAGAGCAAAGAAGACCGCAAACAGAGTATAGGATAGGCGGCCAAACGCTGCAAACCTTACTCAAAAAAGCACACATCAACCAGATAACTGCTGCAGCATATGGACGCCTGGCAAACCTGAGAATAGCGTTCTGATACCTTAGTAATGAATCGTTCAAGACACTGTACACCGTGTACGTCAGGCCCATACTGGAGTATGCAACACCAGTTTGGAACCCACACCTGGTCAAGCACGTCAAGAAATTAGAGAAAGTGCAAAGGTTTGCAACAAGGCTAGTTCCAGAGGTAACGGGAATGTCCTACGAAGAAAGGTTAAGGGAAATCGACCTGACGACAATGGAGGACAGGAGGGTTAGGGGAGACATGATAACGACATACAAAATGCTGCGAGGAATAGATAAGGTGGACAGAGACTGGATGTTCCAGAGAGGTGACACAGAAACAAGGGGTCAAAATTGGAACCTGAAGACTCAGATGACTCAAAGGGATGTTAGGAAGTATTTCTTCAGTCATAGAGTTGTCTGGCACGTGATGTAGTGGAGGCAGGAACCATACATAGTTTTAAGACGAGATATGATAAAGCTCTTGGAGCAGGGAGAGAGAGGACCTAGTAGCCATCAGTAAAGAGACAGGGCCAGGAGCTGAGTCTCGACCCCTGCAACCACAATTAGGTGAGTACACTAACACGCACACACGAGGTTCAGTGGGACAAAGAATTGTCAGGAAGATCAGTAAATGAGATGATGAAATATGTGATAACAATATGCAAGGAAGCTGAGGAGAGATTTGTACTCAAGGGTAACAGAATTAAAGAGAAGGCCAGGATGAGCCCATGGTTCACCCAGAGATGTAGAGGCCAAAACCAAGTGTGCTAGAAAGTGGAAGAAGTAAAGAAGGCAAAGAACCAAGGAGAATAAGGAGAGCAGTCGTAAAGCCAGAAATGAATATGCGCAGGTAAGAAGAAAGGTCCAGCGAGAATATGAAAACGACATAGCAGCGAAAGCCAAATCTGACCCGAAGCTGTTGTACAGCCACATCAGGAGTAAAACAACAGTCAAGGGCCAGGTAATCAGGCTGAGGAAGGAAGGAGGGGAGATCACAATATACGTCCAAGAAGTATGTGAGGAGCTTAACATGAGATTCAAAGAAGGGACTCCAGAAAGATGGAGAGGTGGGGGTACACCATCAAGTGTTGGACACAATACATACAACCGCGGAGGAAGTGAAGAGGCTGCTAAGCGAGCTAGATACCTCAAAGGCAATGGGGCAGGATAACATCTGTCCATGGGTCCTGAGAGAGGGAGCAGAGGTGCCATGTGTACCACTAACAACAATCTTCAACACATCTATCGAAACAGGGCGATTACCTGAGGTGTGGTAGACAGCAAATGTAGTCCCAGTTTTTAAAAAAGGAGACGGACACGAAGCGTTAAACTACAACCCAGTGTCACTGACATGTATGGTATGCAAAATCATGGAGAAGATTATCAAGAGAAGAGTGGTGGAGCACTTATAAGAGAATGAGCTTATCAACGACAACCAGCATGGTTTCAAGGATGGGAAATCCTGTGTCACAAACCTACTGGAGTTCTATGACAGGGTGACAGCAGTAAACAAGAGAGAGAGAGAGAGAGAGAGAGGGGTTGGTAGTGCGTTTTCTTGGACTGTAAGATGGCTTTTGACACACTTCCACACAAGAGATTAGTGCAAAAGCTGGAGGACCAGGCAGGTATAACAGGGAAGGCACTGCAATGGATCAGGGAATACCTGTCAGAAAGGCAACAGCGAGCCATGGTACATGACGAGGTGTGAGAGTGGGCGCCTGTGACGAGTGGGATTCCATAGGGGTCAGTCCTAGGACCGGTGCTGTTTCTGGTATATGTCAACGACATGACAGAAGGAATATATTCAGAATTGTCCCTGTTTGCAGATGATGTGAAGTTAATAAGAAGAATTAAATCTGATAAGGACCAGGCAGAACTACAAACGGATCTGGACAGGCTGCAGACCTGGTCCAGCCAATGATGTAGGTCACTTTGCTTGTGAGGTCACTA